TGCCTGTCTCAGATGCAGTTAATACTCAGAAAGCAGGTTTTGTAAGTACACTGGGTTGGCATGAGGTAATGACTGGGACCTTTCTCAGGCTCAGGGAGTCACCAGACAGAGCAGAAGTAACAGTGTACGGCTGGGATCCATGGCTCTAGTATTCCTTCGAGCCAAGTTTAAAGAAGATGGCATTTCAAGCAGCAGATTCCCAATCTTTCTCACTAATGGGAAAAATCAAACTAATTTTTGTTTTTTGAAACAGGGTCTATTTATCTCAGGCTGGCCTTGAACTTGCTTTATAGCCCAAGCTGGCCTGGAACTCATAGCAGTCTAGCACATGCTGCTTCTTCTGGCTCAAGCTGACTTAAAACATTTCACAAGCACCAGATATAAGAAGAGTTCTGGAAGTACAGAAAAGAGGGAAACCTCAAGTCTATGGAACAGCAACCTTTTACTTCCCTCTCCTAGCACAAGAAGGAAGTTTTTTTATTAGGTTTTTTTTGTTCATTGGTTGGTTTTTCAGTACTGGAGACTGAACTCAGAAGCATTCAGAAATTGAGCTACATCCCCAGCTTTTTCTTTTTTAGACTTAATTGCCCAGGCTGGGCTTGAACTTGTGGTCCTCCTGGCTCCAAAGTAGCTGGAATTACAGAAGTGCACTGCTGTGCTCAGTGAGGAGGATTTGACATTAGCACTTCATTCTTCTTTCTACAAGACAGGGCAGCATATATCCCACCACATTGACAAATAGCGATTGTATTGTTTCTGAAATTTGCTAAGCCATTGAGCCTGCCAACACTTCATGTTCGCTAGACAAGAAAAAAGAGGTATGATAAACAGTGAAGCAAGAGAGAGGAGCTGACATCCCCTCACTTTGTTTAACCATACATGAGCTTCTACTGAGTCACGCTGACACCATGGGAGATGACAAAACTTAAGCAGAATTGCCATGACCCAAATTCCCCTACTAAGGAAGAAATGATTAAGTCCAACCATCTTTGTAGGGCCAAGCCTTTAAGAGGCTGTGGGCTAGACCACCTTGGAAGTAGAGAGCAGTTAAGTAAGGATCTCTAAGCTAGGGAACTATGATAGGGAGCCCCAGTGCAGCTCTAGGAAAGGCACTGGGTTCAATCCTCAATGCCAATTTAGAAAAAAAAAGGTGTTAATACTGCCATACCAAAGTGGAGAATAGGAGGTCAGCAAATAGTCTGCACTGACTAGAATCCCCTTCATCTACATTTCTTCTTGTTCATAAAATAGATTCTCAGCTGGGCACAACGGCAAATGCTTGCAATCCCAGCACTCTGGGAGGCTGAGACTGGAGGATGGCATAAAATTGGGCATAAATATAAAAAAATAAAATTGGGCATAAATATAAAATAAAAAATAAAAACAGGGATGTAGCTCAGTGTGAAGGCCCTGGGTTTAATCCCCCATCACACACATCTCTCTCTCACACACACACACACACACACACACACACACACACACAGATTCCCTACTAAATCAAAGGAAAAACTGAGTGACAAGAAGATCTACCTGCACCAGCCTCACTTCACCTGACTTAACTGCAAAGACAATAGTGCAGCCCGGCTGGTGGAGGCCATATGAACTACTTACAGTGATGAGCTCTGACATTGTGGGAGGCAGGGGCCTAGTCTGAGTTTTGTGATTCATAATGCCATACTGGAAAAGAAAAAGGCTAGGAGCTTATCAAAAAGCTAGATAAATGTATGCTGTTCACATCTCTATAAATACCAATAAAACATCCCTTTAACACAAAAGAATTTATTATGGCATTAGAACCAGGAAATAAAAACCAAGATATAACTTCCTTTCCTACCACAAAGGTGAAAATATAAAACCACATTCACATACAAAACCTTTGAAATATTTAGAAACTCATTGAAAATTAGCATTGTTTAATTTCCAAAGATTGAAGAATCCTTATGTTTGTTTAAGACAGGGTCTTGTTGTATCATCCAGGCTTCCCTTAAACTATCTAGACATGGCTCAAACTTGTGATCCTCCTGCCTCAGCCTCCCAAGTGCTGAGATTATAGATATTTGTGACCATGTGTACCGACAAATCATTTTTTAAAAAACAATTTCTATAGATTTTGTGATTGTTAGTAATTAGTGGCTTTGCAAAAAAAGTTTATGGTGTTAGAATGATTTTAGCACCAATATGTGTCCATATCAAATTCTTGAGCCAATTTAAATTGCCATAAAAATAAATTATAATCTCACATAAAAGGAAATTGAAGGGGGCCAGGGATTTAGCTCAGTGGTTCCACGGCCTGCCTTGCAAGTGCAAGGACCTGAGTTTGATCCCTGGTACAAAAAAAAAAAAGAAATTGAAGCTGGGTATGGTGGTGCACAACTGTATTCCCAGCACTCAGAAAGCTGAGACAGGTGGATTGCTATGAGTTTGAGGCCAGGCTGCAATACATAGCAAAATTTTGTCTCAAAAAACCACAAATAAATAAATATAGATAAAAAAAGAAATCAAGAGGGTTGGGGCTCAGTGACAAGCACTTGCCTAACATGAGCAAGGCCCTGAGTTTGATCCCTAGCACTAGCAAAAAAGAAAAAAAAAGAAAGCAGGAAGTTCAAGTAGTGGCTACTTCAGGGGCTCAGAGATGTCCTAAAGTAACAGGGACCTAGAGGCTGTGCCTGCAGGCACCTAGTGGGTAACTAAGCAGGATGAAGTCTGGCTTCTCTGTCTTATCTGCATCCTCCTTTATCACCTTAATCACCTCCTTTATCACTCTGGGTCAGATCCCTGCTCAGCCCCCGCACACATCCATGCCCATCGCTTACAGTGTCTGTAATACAAGGTTTATTAGACCTAATTTACCTAGTCTATCTCATCCCCCTTCAAGACCTAGGACATCGAGATAAGCTTCACAAGTAACTTCGAGGATCTGCAGGAACACTCAATTTCCAGCTTTTACAGCATCCAGTTGCAGACCCTCTGGAGCAGCACCTAAAAGTCTGGAGTCATTGTCCTGAATCTGCAGTTACATCTGCTCCCAGGAAAAGCAGAGCCTCACAGACCAGCTACCCTGAAAAGGAACCAGGGCTGCTTCTCAAAGCACTCATCTCACAGCATGAGCCCAGTTTTCCCCCCAAGCGATGAGAGTTCTGCTAGAACTCCTCAGAACCAAATCAACCAGATCTCCTTGTGCTGCCAGCTATGCAAATCCCAACCCTTGCCTTAGCTCCTCTTTTCAAAAAAAGCTTCTTACTGTGATAAAAACAGCATGGTACTGGCAAAGAAACAGACCTGAGGACCAGTGGAACAGATTAGAAGATGCAGAAACAACTCTAGACACACTCAGCAACCTCATATTCGACAAAGGAGCCAAACACCCTCACTGGAGGAAAG